AATTACAGAAATTGTTGAATGATTATAACCATATATTTGCAAAAAAAGTAAATGATATGGGTTTTATAAGGGTTGAACCTCCCAGAGTTATATTAACTTCTGAATTACCAATAGCCTATAGACCATATAGAGCATCTCCTAAAGATAATAGTGAAATTAAAAACAAAATAGATGAATTGTTAAAAGCTGGAATTATTAAAACCTTCTTATAGTCCTTATGCTGCTTCTGTAACTTTAGCTTATAAGCGAGACGAGCAGTCCAGAAGCAGATGTGTATTGATTCAGGAAGCTTAACCAAATTACTAAAACTGATTCTGAACCTATTCCTAGAATTGATGCTGTATTAGATCAATTAACAAAATGCAAAAATCTTTTCTACATTGGATTTGGCATCAGGCTATTGGCATATAAAATTAAATGAAAAGGATACTGAAAAATTGGCATTCACTACAAATTTTGGACTGTATGAGTTTACTAGATTACCTTTTGGTTGGAAAAATTCCCCAGCTGTTTTCCAACGAGCTCTTAGACAAATTTTAAACAATATCAGATTCCAATTTGCTTTAAATTATTTTGATGATATTATAGTATTCTCTCCAAATTTTGATGAACATTTAAATCATCTTAAAATAATATTGATATATGTGAGAAAGAGAATATAAAATTAAAACAATCTAAATGTAATTTTGCTAAAGAAAAAATAAATTTTCTAGGATATGAAATTCAGCAGGTAAATACCAGACCAGTAATGCAAATATAGAGGTATTAAGAAATTGCAACCCCCTGAAAAATATCAAAGAATTACAAAGATTTTTAGGAATATTAATGTTTATCATAAATTTATTCAAAATTATGCTAAAATTAGAGCCCCATTAACAAATTTACTTAAGAAAGATACTCCTTATAATTGGATGATGAATGTCAAAAAGCTTTTCAAAAATTAAAAAAAGATGCATTGATTTCTAGACCTATTTTAACTTTGTTTAATCCTAAATATCCCTGTCATGTATTTGTTGATGCGTCCAAAGAAGCTGTTGGTGCTGTTTTAAAACAAGAACATCCTGATGGTAGTTTATATCCAATTGCTTTTCATTCTAGAAAATTAAGATCTTATGAACAAAATTATGCCATTACTGAGCTGGAATGTTTATCTATTATTGATGCAATTGATAAATTTTATTATTATTTACATGGTAACCATTTTACTGTACATACTGATCATGCTGCTTTAGTTTGGCTTTAAAAATATAAAAACCCTACTGGTCGTCTATTTAGGTGGTCTTTAAAATTATCTATGTATGATTTTGATGATAAAATAAAAAAAGGATCTACTAATGTTGAAGCTGACATGCTCTCTAGAAATCCTATGTTGTCAACATTTAAGATTGCAAGTTAATTATTATCATTAGAAGAAATAAAAGAATATCAAAATTTAGATAATGTTTGTAATACTAAGTATAGGAAAATGAATGATGTCTTAACTATTAAAAAACAGGGATTGTACAAAATTGTGATACCCATGTCTCTACGCACGAAATTACTTGAAAAGGCCCATATACAATTTGGTCATATTGGTGTATCATCTATGCTAAATTTGTTATCTCCAAAATATTATTGGCCAGGAATTGTTAAAGATGTTAGAAATTATTGTAAACATTGTGAAGTATGTCAGTTTAATAAGAAAAGTAAACAAAAGAAATTTGGTTTAATGCAAAAATTTACCATCAGTTAGTGAACCTTTTGAAATATTATCTATTGATACTGTAGGTGGTTTAAATTATTATAATTCTACTAAAAAGTATATTCACATAATTATTGATCATGCAACTAGATATATCTGGACTTTGCTTCCAAAAGTGTAACTACAGATACTTATATAAATTGCTTAAAAACAAATTTTCCAAATTCAGGTCCTAAAAAGATTTTAAGTGATAGGAACGCTGCTTTTGCATCTTCAAAATTTAAGCACTTTTTAAGGAATCATAATGTAAAACAATTGCTAACTACTGCAAATAGACCCCAAACTAATGGTAAAATTGAACGTGTTAATCAAACTATTATAACTAGATTAAAATGCAAACTAAATTCTTATCACGGTAATATAGCATGGACAAAATTATTACCCCAAGTAACTGAAGAGTATAATAATACCCCTCATTCTGTAACAAAATTCCCTCCATCATATTTAATGTATGGAAAATTACCTTATGATTCCTTAATTCAAAATCAAGAATTGTATCCGTCAATAGAAGAAGCCAGAAAAATAGCTCAAAAGAGATCTGATGATTATCATAATGTAAATAAAGAAAGATATGATATTCATTTTAAACCTAGTAATTTTAAAAATTGGTGATTTAGTAATGTATGAAGAATTTCAATACCCTAATACACGTAAATATCCCCTCCATTCTCAGGACCTTATAAAATTTTAAAACATATTCTGAAGTTACTTATGAAATAGATAAACCTAATCCTTTAACTAAAAAGAAATCAGAAATTGTTCATTCAACTAGATTAAGATCTTTTAATCCAGCAAGTGAGTTTAAGTTAACTGTCCGAAATAGTAGAATTCCTATCTCTGTTCAAAATTAAAATTAATTTTTTTTTAAATTCTCTTTTAAACATTTTCCTGATTATGACCTTTAATACCTGATTTAGACTTAAACCCTAACTATGACAAGTTATTTTCCCGACTATGACAAATTATTCTCCCGATCTTGACCTTTTATATCTTTCACATCATTTGAATTATTTTGTAGCAAAAATTTTCTTCTTATTGTAGGATAATATTTGTTTCTAATTAACAACATTATAAAAAAGACTTTAACTTGATTATACAAGTTATCCGTCTTATAATTTTGATTTTATATGATCTTTTATTTTTCTAACACAACTTTGAGGTAATGTACAATCCCAAAAACCAGTTACCTTCTATTAGGCAACGGAGGGTTTTCGATATTTGTACTTAGCACCCCCCAACCATCAGCAAGTAATCACGCTGATCTGTTGGCGAGGACATGCCATAGTGTTAAAGTCAAAGTGTTCATTTTCTAGTGTATAATTGTATTATTTATATTGAATTGTTTTTTGAATAAGTATAATATTTTGTATTGAAGTGTAAAACATGTCAATCTTTATGATGAGAGGAAAAAATGCATCATATTTGTGAACTATCAACATGCATCATATTTGTGGACTATCTGGCATTTAGAGATTTTACCAGATATTTTCATTCTATTCGAACTCTTTTTATGAAAAAAGGACTTTCAAAAAAAAAAAAAAAAAAAAAAAAAAAAAGACATTTTTAACAAAATTGAGGAACTTTTGTAATTATAACTTATTTATTTATCAGTATTCCATATTTATTATGTTATAGTCTTAAAATTAGTCATATATTGTATATGTATTTATAACTCATAGTTTTAATGTTTCAAAATTTCATATGCTATAAAGTCCAAAATTTTATATGAGAAAGTCATGAAACTATGATAGGCCATAGTTAAAGCTTGTACGCTATGTTCCTGGATGTTTTCATGTCTTTTCTCATACTTTTGCTTTACTCCTGTACTAATGCTTTTCTCACCCCGGCCTCTTTTTTGACGGGGGGGGGGAAGATGTAAAATAAAAAAAAAAAAAAAAATACGATGGCTTTGCTCTTTGCGAACCAGCAACCTTTAATTAATTTTCTGCAATTCAGGATCGTTCCCCTAACCCAGTACCTTCTAGAACATTCGCGCCTATTACATAACCTCCTCATATAAATGCTGCGTCATAAGTCTTTCTACATTTTTCTAGAAGCTACTCTGTTACATAACCTTTCATATAAATGCTGCGTCATAAGTTCTCCTACACAGATGCCTTCTCGCCTTCGTCATTCGGCTAATGCCTCCGCTATGCTCCTTCTTTCTTTGTTAGAACGTTGTGACGTATTAAAGTTTAAAGTCAGTCGTATCTAATAGTTCAATTACTGAATAAGTTATTTGAGTAACTTCATCTGGAAAAATCATCTGCTATTAAAATTAAAATAAAGATATGCTTGCTGTTAAAAGTGAAAAGTCCTGAGTCGTCATTTTACTCCGTGTTTCAATCACCCCAGCTTCGTTAACCATCTGCCAGAACGTGTAATGGAATAGCCTCACCATTCGCCCACGATGTGTTGGAATAATTGAAAGCATTACATATATATATATAATATAGGTTAGGTTTGGGTTCAACTTCCTCTTGAAGAGATTTGTCTCCTGCCTGCTCAACAATTATTCACTTTATGCAACATAATTTAGTCTTGAAAAATTCTTTAAAGTTTTTAGGATTAATTTATGGATTATTAAACATTATTAATTATTAAATATTTTTCGTGTATTAAGATGCTTACACTTAATTTACATATGCTTTCTGAATCTGAATGATATTGCAAATTAGTTCGGAGCAATAATTAATCTTTTATTTGCTTACAATTGGATTTTTATAATTTAAACAATTAAAATAACTTTATATGAATGAGATAATGTTTCTGTCTTTGTTAAATTCAAAATATGTATATATCTTTGGTACGGACGGAGGAGACGAAAAAGGGAGGTGCACAACTAGATGTTATAGCCAATCCCATATACGAAACTTCACCGTTCTATGGCTATTCGTTTTTGAGTTATGCGAGATACATACATATGTTACGTGCCTACGTACAGACATCCCTAAAAAAGTCTCTTCTGAATTTATTATCCATTTTACAATCTGTTTTAGAAAAAAAGAATCCTTTATTGTGTCCATACGTACAGATGTCACGCAAAAGCATCATTCCAATGAATTCGAGATCGGGATGGATATTTTTTTTGAAACATGTTACCCGAAAGTTTTTGCGATTACAATACTTCCTTAACTTCGTACGAAGAAGTAGTTACGTAGCACTTGCTTTAATATTCCTTTTAAAATATTGTTCATTTCCTATTCGCTTATTTTTGAGGATGCGTCTGTGGTCCAAATTCAAAGTTTTGCTTTTTCAGTAGTGGGGATAAACACTGCAGTTGCGAAGATGGCTATAAGGAGAGACTTGGAGGATGCGACAGTGAGTAAAAACTTTGAAATTGCCTAAATTATTTTAACGATTTAAACAGATAAATGGTGATTTTTGCAGATTTTAATGATATCGCAGATTTTACAAAAAATCTAACGTATTTTTTATTTCATGCAATTAACTGAAAGAATTATTCCAAAAAGAAGCTCTCATGGCACAATAATTGTGAAATTTCTGTTGTTCAATAAACTAAATATATTTTTACTATCAAAATATGATGATATGTTTTATAAGTTATTTACATACCATTGGATATATTGAAAATTATATTAGTGAACTTATGTGTAAGAGTCTCCTGTGCTTTTAGACGTTTTTTAAATTAAGATAAATTGAACAGAATAAAGCTAATAATTCCTTCCATTCTTAAATAATATAGTATTTATAAAACTGCAGGCTTAAAATTAAAAAGCATTCTTCTGAACACACGCGTATTATTTTTTAGGACATTTCGTAGAAATAAATTTAAATGAAAATGTTATTGTGTTTATGTAAAATTTATTACATACTACTAGTTTAATTTTTGTTGAGTTTATTAGCAAGCCACCAAATTTAATTTCTTTTGAGTTTATTTCAGAGGTTTACACTAGTAATATTTTCTACTGCCTAGTTTAAACTACTAAATTATAATAACAAAATCAACAATCAGTAAGATAGATTAAGAGCACAAAGGAAAAATCTACCTTTTTTTGCATAAGTACCTCTAAAATAATTCAGTTGTTTTTTTCTAGACGCGGTCAAAGCTTTGGCTACGTCTAGCATCAGGATGGCGACTCTCATTTTATTATGTTTCTTTATGTTTATGTTTCTTTATGTTGTTCATGGTCTCATTTATTTTGTTTCTTACAAATGCTGGTATGTTTTAGGGATTTGACGAATCGCCAAGATAGAGCTAATATCATCGCTCATTCTATCAATTTTCTCCTGCCATATGCTTGCTCTATGTGAATCAATCAGATGTTTGATTCGGTGATATAACCGATTTTAGTCACAGGGTCCCAGGTCTGATGTTTGGTGACAATCTGTGCTCGTATTGATTTCGATCAACACTCCTTGCTGCTTCAGGATTGGCATTCCTGAGAAAATTTGAGAACATATTAACTGCACTGTCAATATCCTTATTTGATTTTATGGAGCCAATATTTAATGAAGACGTCATTAGAATAATGGGGAATAAGTCCCAATCAGTAATTTGCACTGGAGTTAAGTCCTTGGGCTTACTGACTTCCAGATAGGCTAGAACTGGCACGTGATCAGATGTCATGTATTCACAACTGATAATGCCATTGGTACATTAAGTGTATAGACGAAAAAAATCCAAAATGTCCTGTCTCCCGTTTATAATGTTACGTTGACTCCTTCGGCACATGGAGATAAACTGGGTTGTTGCTCATAAAATCTGTCCATTATAGTTTGTGTGATTACATCCCCAATCACTATGAATGTCGTTCATGTTGGCACCTAAAATTGTAAATGAAATTGGTTGCAGTAGACCATACAGGTTAGTTGTCTTGCTTATTATAAACTGCAATAAAAGCCACTGGGCTGATTTTCGGCAATTTTATAACTGTTTTAACCGCCTCCAATAGGTTTCAATTGTTCGTACTTCTGAAGCATGACTTAAATTCCATTTCACATATATGATTGCTGCACCACCACGGTGGTGAAACCTATCGCATCGCTGAGAGGATTTGGCGTAGGTTTCTAAGATACAGTTTGCTAAAAAGTATGAAGCATGATTGTAAATTCGGTTTCATATATATCATAGCTCCACCAGCATGGTGGCGAAACCTATCGCACTCAGCAGTGGGGTTGGCGTGGGTTTCTGATATAGATACTTTGATGGTTTGGTTGTTTATTCTTGTGTTCAGCAGGAAGTTATCCTGTTCTTATCACCGAATACCCCTAGGGTCTTCACACGTAACGGTTCTTCATAAATTCTTTCACCATAAAGATGCGACATGCTGCAGAATAATTACCTAAATAATTTTTAAAGTTTTACGACGGACTAAAATTCTTGAACGCCATATTGGAAATATTTCCTAAGGCGAAGTGAAATAGCGTAACAATGAAATAATTTTTTTTACAATAAAATTTCACTAAAATTATAATATTATATGTTGCTATTGTTATTGTTAAAAAGCGATAAATTCTGGTTGACAATGACAGATATATTGATGTTAAAAATGATGGCATCTTGGAAACGACGATTAACATGGCAGATTCTGAGAGGTTAAAAATACTGAGATAGCTGTTAACATCAAATATAACTAGCTCTAATTCGTTTCAGCAGTTAACTACAATGTGGAGAGACTGGAGGAGATTTTCGTTTTCTTTTCAGTATGCATTTGTGGAGCGAACTCAACAGATTGCGAGTTTAATGAAAAGGGAGATAAAAAATGCTGGTGTGTCGATGGATATTCCGAAATGAAAGGAAAATGTAAAGGTGATAATTTACAGTGAATTCATTTTATAATTTAAAATTTGTGAAAACTGTGTTTAAATGAAATTCGAAGTATTAACTGTGATTTAACTATTTTTTAGAATGCAGCTGTGGTGACCACGGGAAGTGTACTTTCAACGGCGAAATCAAAACCTGCACCTGTGATAGAGGATATGCAAACAAAAATGGGAAATGTGAAGGTCAGAAACCATATAAAACTATATATTACCCAAAGTAATTTTATTGAGAAATAAAGTAAAGGCAGAAACTTACCATAAAATTTCGGAAATAAACCAATCCATAGACAAACCGAGAGGTAAAACGTTTGTTTCAAAAATTCAGCTCAAACTCAGCAGAACACGTGTAGAGGTTAAATTTGTAATCAGCGTATAAATCCAGCTAAATACTCGGTCAACCGATCCAACAAGTAGTTCATTCAGCCAGTTGGTTTTCTTATTTAGCCAAACTATTCAAACAATCTGAAACTGAGTGCTAGTTCTCATTCATTCGTAAAACAGGTCAGAAATGACAATCTAATCCAGGGCTATCCAACCTGCCACCCGTGGGCCACAAGTGGCCCAAAGCAAATATCAATGAGATCTATGAAACAATCGCGAAGCACAAAAAAATATCAAGACTTTACTGTTGCCGTTTCCTGCGGACCAGCTGCTCACTTGGTGGTAACTAACTGTTGCCATCTGGTTTCGTGGCTAATTTTCAATATGGAAAGGCGGGTCATTTGACGCTCCGCCGTTGGATCGAAATAAGATATACCTTGAGTGGAATGGTAATTCCACTGGTCTTTCGACTTACGCGCAAAATTATTAATGTCATTCTGATATGTTATTAATGTTTACGAGGATATCAACCATGGTGAGGATATGAACATTAGTGTTTCCAGCGTTTTCGGATTTCAAACTGCAGTGGATGCAAATAATGCCATACTTTCAATTGCTTCAAGCTGTTATATTCTCAAATCCTATTTCGAGTTGTATGCGGATTATTTCCTTCATTTTACGCAATTAAGAAATGTTAAGTGAATAAGAAGGTGAAAAATCAGTTTAATGTTTCTCCACGTTGGACGTCGTAGCGAATAACTGTGTTTGAATTCTGATTTTATGTTTTTAAAAATCTTCTTTGTCCCGAATTTTATTGCTCTTGGTTTCCACAAAAAAAGGTAGGACATATTGTTATCGTGTGACGCATTTATTGTGGAGGTCACGGGCTTCCACTGCTGTTAGAAAATAATTTATATGGCCCAAAATCTCTCATCTTCTTCCAGTGTGGCCGAGGAAGCTGAAAGATTGGACACCATTTATCTAATCGTTCATAAAATGTTTCAATCATCAGCAATGTTATGAAAGGAGCTTACCTGCGAGATGACGATGTTAGGGGTGAAGAGGAGTGCTATGTAATTCTCTCATCTGTCTACAACAGAGAGAGAATTCGAAGGAGTGAAAATAATTCTGATTCAGTAATGTACTGAAAATAGTTCAATTTCAGTAATATAAATTGTAATGAATCAAAACAAAAAATATCCGAACGCTTTCACATTATATATTACGTCCACAGGAACTTTTTTTTAAAGTTTTGTGTGTTACCTTTATTTATTGAATATCATGTTCTTGGCACTTAAACCCCACAAAATTCAGTTCAACAGCAATATCACAAAATATTTGAAAACAGCATATCTTTAAAATTTTCCGATAGACAGTCTGGCGCACTGGAGATAAAAATGTTTTTTCCCAACAGTGCTGCCATTGCTCGCTTTGGAATTGTTTTGTTAATCAAAAATCCTTTAAAGTTTTACGAAATATGAAATGGAAAATAAAACAAATTCGGAATTCAAAAAGACAGAAGCTGGTCGGGAATGTCGGATGGTGACTCTTAGAACTTTGCTATGTACTTTAATGATCTGAATAATGTCATGTTTCATACAATTTATATATTTGTGATGTCATTGTCTTTTCACAAACGTTTTGAGAGTGTGGTCTAGGTAATCGTTTAGACATTTCGAAACTATTTTATCTTTGATGCTGCTACATGCCAATGAATTTTCGATACTTTTTTTGGTTAGTTTTCAGATACTTTTTTTTGGTTAGTACTTAAATACTTAAAAATATATTTGTAGATCGTTTATGTTGACACTTGTGATAGATTTCCTGGATGTTTATTTTGGAGAATGTATTTATTTTATTCTCGTGAATGAAGCTGATGTTTTCTTAAAATTTTATTATTCAGAGTATTAGTCAATTATGACAGAATGCCGGATTTGTTCTCTTTATTCAAAATTCATATGAACTTCAGTATTCCAAATCTCTCACGTAAATGTAATTTTTTTCAATCAGTAATAGGAAGACGAATGGAATAAATGCAGGTTATGTAGACATGAGGTAAAAATCTGGAAGTAAACGAAATTCTTCAGATCTAGGAAATTCAGTAGAATGTGCAAATATTCATCCTGTTCGAAGCTTATTCATGGAATTAGATAGCATATGAGATGTAAATTTACTAAAAAGAGATAGAATGAAAATCACGTACTCTGAAAAGTCTGGACGGTAACTATACAAAACTAGTTATGTGGCAGTTTTCCATAAAAAGTGGTTTCAGCGAAGGAAACATGCCAGCAGTCTCCTAAAACTGTAAGTGAGCACATGATCTTTGCTCTTACAAAAGTTTAGTAAAATTATAAATTATAAGAGCCGAAGATCATAGGCCCACTTAGAGTTTCAGGAGGTCGCTGGCATATTCCTTCGCTGGAACCATTTTTTATGGAAAACAGCCACATAACTAGTTTTGTATAGTTACCGTCCAGATTTTGCAGAGTACGTGATTTTCATTCTATCTCTTTTTAGTAAATTTACATCTCATATGCTATGTAATTCCAAGAATAAGCTTTGAACAGGATGAATATTTGCACATTCTACTGAATTTCCTAGATCTGAAGAATTTCTTTTACTCCCAGAATTTTACCTCATTCTGCATAACCTGCATTTATTCCATTCGTCTACCTATTACTGATATGAAAAATTAGAGTTACCGTGAGAAGTTTGGAATACTGAAGTTCATATGAATGTTGTTAAAGCGGAAAACTATTATCAACATAAACGACCTACAAATATATTTTCAAGTATTTAAATATTTCATAAGCTGAAGCTAAGCCAGAAAAGTATCGAGAATTCATTGGCATATGTTCAAAAAGATAAAACAGCAAAGATAAAATAGTTTCCAATAGCAAAGAGAAAACAGTTTCGAAATGTTTAAATGACTACCTAGAGCACACTCTCAAAAACGTTTGCGAAAAGACAGTGACCTCACAAATACAAAAATTTATGGAACATGACATTTTAAAAATTTTCTTTCGAAATTTTAGTTCTGATATAGGAAAATACACATTAAATAATTAAATGTGGGGATTCGTGTAAATGTTTGTAAAAAAAAACAAATATATAGACTTAGACTCTATAATTGACAGAGCTATTGCGAAGAGCAATTTTGCCGGTTCCAGAATTAAAGCCCAAGGGCACTTGACATAAAGAAATCCGGACGTGGAGAAAATCTCAGATGAAAAAACGGAGAAAAGGGGAAGAAGAGAAGTGCCAAAAGGAGCAAGACAATCCAATCGGACAAGTTCGCAAAATGTAACGAGCGATCATAGCTTTCAAGGAGGACCTAAGACAATGCAAATCAATGACAACAACATGAGAAGGTACACTACAGCAATAGTTCCAATGACAAATAACAAATATATAAATTTTAGGGAAATTTTGCATGTTTCCTATTTAAGTAATAATACTGGCAAGTTAGAGTAATTTTCTGTACTGAACATACGTATGTGTCTACGAAATTCTTTGGAAAAAGCGGAAAGTAAAGAATCATTTCGATACTTCACTAGAAATCAAGTGTTCTAAATGAACAGCGATTTAAAATTTAACCAAGAGCACAACAAAGTACATATATAAATTATTTTGCTAATCGGTTATGAACGTTTAATCAGGATATATCCAGAATCTTCAAGATTAGTAATGAAACGTTCAGTTTAACCCTTGAGATTTTACTAAAGAGTCTCTGTAATAGTAAAATGCTGGTTAAAATTGAGCTAACAAAAGAAAAAATATGCCTTTTTTAAAATATTCGCATGATATGCAATAAAAATGAATGCATGGACCCGGTTCAGCAATGTAATCCAAGGTGTTAAGTAAAAAATTCTAAACTTAGTTTTTTGTTACATATGAAATGTATTGAAAGAGCGAAAATTAGTAATATATTAGCACTGGACTAGGAAACAAATTCTCAAAGATAATACTTTGGTATGAAAATTAATCAAAAAGTATAACATGTACAAATTTTTCTTCGCAATAAGTTATGAATGTTTTCGTTTCAGTAGAAAGAAGTCAGAAAGTACAAATTTGGTAATGAAACACTCATTTCAGCCTTTAAGATTTTAATAAAAGATGCAATAAATACATTCGCTTGAAATGTAATGCAGTAAGTTAAAATATAATTCTAGTTCATCAATACAATATATTAGTTATGTACAGTTAATTGTTCATTTCGAGACAAAGAAGAAAATTTTGAGTCAAAGAAAAACATATTTACAAAACAATGATTCTTTTTTATTACTAATTTAAATCAAAGCGCTGGTGTTTCTTATGAAGATGAGGCATTTAATTAGGCATGGTTCTAATGAAATTAGTACATAAACTTAAGTCAGTGATCGTGGTGACTTAGAGAAAATATTCCAAGTGTATGAGCTGGGTTACATACGAATAAGTCTCTATTATTTACATAAAAATATGTCAATGTCCAAGAAAATTAATCTATCCCTATAGAATACTAAGATAAAAATTCCATTTCTTTTCTTAATTTCTGGTTCAGTGTGGTAATGTTGTTGAAGTTAAATCTTCCAAACGTGTAACAAAATTATTAAATAAAAAAATGTAACTATTTAGTAAAAATTTGTTCTCATGTCTTTACAAGGCGCTGTAAACGATAAATAAGAAAATATTTGAAAATTCAATGATTTTCAGTTGCAGTAATTAACAAAATGGTAATATTCAAAGTGTTCAAAAGGTTATCGATAAGGTACTGCACAAAAAACGGTTCATGAAAACACGAACACATCACAGCCATCCGCAAATAACTTCTGTCGAATCTGAAAATTTTATACTCAAAATTTCTTTTGGATGCAGGAAAAGAAGCATTAATTGATTCAAAACGGAGATACTCATGTAAACTTTCCGAAATGAAATGTACAGTATTTCAGGAAATA